CTTTTTCAGGTCAACAACTTTTTTAGGCCGACATGACAATACACATAACACATATTATTGATGCATTATGTTTTGCGTGCTAACGATTCTTACGGTACAAGTTCGTGTAGTTTTTTCAGGTCGACATGACAATACACATAATACATATTATTGATGCGCTATGTTTAACGTACAAGTTCGTGCAATATAGTTCTTTTTAAGTTGACCAACATTCCGGTTTTCAAAATCCATTACGACATCCATTTCAAAAATGCCCTAAAATTTAATAAGTGGTTTAAGAAGAGGCAAGAAGGTGAAGGTAGTTCAACAGATCCACATGGAACACGTCATAACACAATCGATCCTACCTTGAAAAAAACATGCTAGGTTGCTATACCGATTTGGTGGATGACAAGTGGTATGGTGCTATACGTCCCTTGGTAAATAATCCTATCAATATACATACTAATCTCAAAGTTGCAGGGTACATTATTGAGGGGGAAGCGCATTCTACAAAGCTTGAAGATATGCGAATTTGGGGTGAAAAACTACAATGGGTTCCCCTTTACTCAAAAAGGTGTGATTATGAAGTACTATGCCATTGGCATGGGCTAGTTGTACCACAAGCATTGTTTGCAACATTCCAAACAAACACGCACAAAGATGAACCAGAAGTGATTCGGCATTTGATGAAGGAGATATTACAGATGGAAAAGGCACAAGCCATTTTTCATTCACTGGATGATCTTAACTACCTTCAAGGAACGGAGGATTAGTATTGAGATTTATTAGAGAATGAAAAATTACTTAGACACATTGATTATCTTGTATTCCAACAGTTGTCGAGTGAGAGGGACTACCAGCAGACGTTGGACGTAGGAGTCTCATATTGTTGTAGAAATCAAGCAAGTGGTCTTACTGATGATAGCGATGAAATACGAGAAATGTGTGTCAACTGGGGCCTAGATTATGATGTTCTCGGTCCGGACATATGTGTACAGGACATTGACGAAGAAGATGAAGACAATGACAATGAAATTGTGCCAGACAGTGACGATAATGGGGAATAAAAATCGTTATTTATTTATTTTAAGCTATTTAGTTGTTGTATTGAATCTTCAATGCTAATTGTCAATTGGATTAAAGACTATTGAAAACTTAATTTTATTTCATAAATATTGCAAACAACACCATTACAGGCATTTAGCACAACAAAATTACTATAACAAATCATTATGTTTATCCTTGAAAGTTGGGCACATTGGATGAACTGCAACCGGGAGTTGAATTACCACCGCTTCCCAAACCAACTGAAGGACATTTACGGCGATCGTGTCCTATTTGGGAACATATACTACATTTACGCGCATAAACGGTATCACCAATATCAATTTGGCTCCGTATCCGCATTCTTTTTTACACTTATCGGTGACACACATGATCCTTGTTAGACACCATTTTAATTGGTTTCGACGGCCAATAATGCTCAGCACCTACTAATGGGAAGTGACCACTATAGGTGTTTATGTATGCAACAACACTATATTTTTTATCAATATACCTTTATCGCAACAAAACCAGCATGTTGAAAGCACTTCATGGTATGTGAGCATGGCAAGTGATAGATCGACCATTTCCCACATGAACATAATCTTCTGGATTCATTGATGGTGTGGGTATTATTACCGTAATTTTGATGCAAACCAGTGCGAACTTCAAAAATATTTCGCTCGTTGCAATATTGCAAATATGTATGCCATTGTGCTCGCTTCCTATATTTCTCAAGTCGTTTCGTCGGCTGTGGCATAAATTGAACACCCATTTCCAGCAAGGACGATGCACTTCGGGATCTTTCAACAAATCTCTCTGCCATATGCTTGAATGACATCCGCACCATGGCAGTGACAGTGACAGGCAATCCACGGGTAAACTTCAACAATCCGTTGAAAGACTCTGACACGTTTGTAGTCAAAATTCCCCATCTTATGCCACCATCCTTATGCAAAATCCACTTATCAAGCTCATGTTGCATCAACCAACGATAAGCTCATGGGTCTTCCTGTCTAATCAATTCCATTCGCCTCCTGAATTTATACTCTTGATGATCTGTTACAGTTATCCACATTAAATCATGTAAGCTCTTGTTCGGATGAGCCCGCTGGAAGTTGGCCTTAAAGTGTCTAACACAGTAACAATGGTAGGCATACAGTTCCTTCCATGCATCTAGTCTGATAAAACTTAAAATCTCACCATGTCGATCAGATATTAGACAAATACATGAACGCTATCTGACAACGTGCTCCTTCAAGTGGTTCAAAAACCATGTCCAAGTCTTTTGACTTTCATTGGCACAAATAGAAAATGCAAGGGGAAATATGCTTCCACTAGCATCTACTGCAACGGCAATCAACATATTAATATCAAACTTTCCATAGACATGAGTGTCGTCATGGAGATTACCGGCCGATAATGCACAAAAACGCCTGAACACATATCTGAATATAAATTCTAGTATTCCAGGACTCCGCGTAAGCTTTCATTCAACAATATTCTTGGAGTTAAAGTGTTGCAAAGCATCTGTGTACCTGGTTAGAGCGGCAAATGACTTATCCCAATTACCATAAATAATCTCAAACGCACGTTTACGCCCGAGAAATGCCTTTCTTTTGGTAATGGTACAACCATATACTTGGTGGACATATGTTATACATGTCTTTAATCTTGTACCTTATGGATGATTCAATGTGCGGAATCAAGACAAGAGAAATCAAGTCAACATTCAAGTTAAAATGATTCCCACTGAATGTGTCTGTATCACAAGTGTGACTGCCAATGTATTTCGCAATCCACATATTTGTTTTCAACATTCTCGCACGCAGCATCCATCTACAACCTTGAAACCATCTACGAGAAATAACCTTATATACTTCCGGAGATGACTCATGAATCTCGATCTCACGACACTCTTTTATGCTATAAATTCGCACGGCCCTGCTAAGGTGCGCTTTATAAAAAAAACCCATATCTTTTTACAGCACCGTTGATCTAGATTCATCCCCATTGCTGTTCGAATATCATCAAGACCCCTCGTGAGGGCATCCACAACCGGCATACTGGGCAACTGATCAAGGTAGGGAATCTTCCTTGAATGAAAGTGCACATGGGACTCGTACACTCTGGGTCTAACGGGAGGTGGAGTCTGCATATATGGAGCATGCTCATTAGTGGCATCATGTTCCCTCGTCAAATCAGGTTGCGCATTCTTATTCTCATCAGCAAAGCGCGTTCCTCATCATCGTCGCCCTCATCAAGGAAGGGTGTTTCATCTCCAGACTCATCAGCATTGTTATCATAGTCACTATCATCTTCCTGACTCTGTGGATCCTGATTAAATATATCATCTTCGGCAACTAAGTAAGGACAAGACCTTCATGTTGCTCGTTTTCACTGCACAACAATAAAAAAAATGAGTTTCTCAAAGTCATCTCAACATTATATATTAACTTTATCTCTTAACTTACAATTTATAATCTGTTGATAGCCCATGATGCACATTATCGAGTTGCTGATGACTCCCGGATGGACCAGCATGATCAAAACCACCAAAATTGGGCATATTCCTACTGTTGCTTGGTTCATAACTTGTAAAATTCATATCTGGCCGGTACCCCCTTTGGAATATATGAGTGTTACTCCGAATATGATACCTCAAAAAATCATACTAAGAAAAGGAAAATTAAAATTTACAACTCAGCATGTAAATTATGTATACTTGGGGAGAAATTATGTCATCGCTCCTCATTCGCCCGTGGAGATAAGTTTAGATCTGGCCAGACTCTTTCAAATGGATCCTGTTCGGATAATACTGCTCCAAAAACACCACCAGATGATTGAGAGTTATCCGTATTTTGCAAAACCTCAATTTTGCGGACTCTTCAGACTTGACGTACATTTCCAGCATTTTTATCACAAGTTCCTGGTATTCATCCGGAGTCCTCAAAAATTCTTTCAGAGTTTTATCGTCTTTAATGTTAAACTTAGCATAACAAGCAACCCCTTGCGGAGTAAGCGAATATGGATATCTTCCGGTTACATTAATATTAACCGAGCGCTTGCTCGCACTCATTATTTTACATATTAAAGATACCAATCTATCATACTCTAATGTGAATGGGAACTTAACAATGCACTGTGGAGAACAACTATAGTGTACTGAGTTATTCCACGACAACCTCACCCCCTCCCCACCCACCCCTCTCCAAATATAATGCCAACTCTAATTTTTCGCTTTCAGACATTATGGCAAAATACAAAAAAAGTTAAGTAAACAAATATTTCTGAATGAGTAAGGAAAATAAAAAGGATGCCGAAAACTGAATTTTTGAAGAAAGAGTGAACCTCCTAAAATAAGCAAAAAATCTGTGCGAATGGTACAATAATTGGAGGGTACAAATTTGATATATATATATATATATATATATATATATATATATAGCACAGTTAATTATTCGCTATACTCTCCAATTATTGTGGGCCAGTCAATTAATGCGCTATACATTAACGGACAAACGTGTTATTAAGGTATAGCACATGTATTAAATGTGCTATACATAAAAAAAATCGGCAGTAATATATATATATATATATATAGCACAGTTAATTATTCGCTATACTCTTCAATTATTGTGGGTCAGTCAATTAATGCGCTATACCTTAACGGACAAACATGTTGTTAAGGTATAGCACATGTATTAAATGTGCTATACATAAAAAAATCGCCAGTAATTTTTTTCACCTATTTTGGTGCTTCGAGTCCAAAGAAGTACGTAACACTTTGGTTCCGAACTCCTTTTTCGAGCATCTCTTAGGATTTGATTTGCCTAGTACTCTCATTTCACCAAAAATAACTACGGCGCCTGACAACTGATGGCTAAATGACGGAAATACAACTAAATCGAATTAAAAATGTACTGCAGGAAATGTGTAGAGGAGTAGATGCGCTACTAGAGAGAGACGATAGATCGAGTCAAGTTTGAGAGAGATGAAAAGCGGGCAAATTTTAGCATCAATATTCCTGTTGCTGTTCAAGAATTTGAAGAATCTTTCTCAAAGTCAAATTTGACTTACCAAGCCCCAGGAAATTTTTCAAAAACAATAATTTTCCATTTCCAGCAGCAGGACAGATTAGAGTTGAATCTATGACCTCAGCACCTATGCGTATCAAACTTGTATGACCTCCTTAAAATACATGAAATTAGAGACACTTCAATCTGAAACCACTGATTTTATTTCTTGCTTGAAGTATAAATGCCAGATATTATGGCCACTCCTGCGACTGCAACTCCGAATATTGACAAGATTCTTGTGACAGAGATGGCAGGTTTCTGTGAAGGAATTGTGAGTAGTAACTGAACCTGTGGCAGCAAATTATAAACAAAGAATGTCAATAAATAAGTACAAGGTTCAAATTCAGCCTGTAAACTTTAAATATGCGACTAGGAAAGCCACAAAATTTTGCTTCCAGATGCTTTGGAGTTTACAGGAGGAAGCATAAGTTCAATCTAACTACACTATCAACAACTTTTATCACCTCAATGGGTTGTTTCCAGTTCTGCTTGATTCCTGGCAGGTGACCCTTCCCTACGACTGCTACAACAGAGTTGTGTTCACCAGCAACTCTTAGTAATGTCGATGACATGTACCTGTAAGAACAGAAAAAGGCAGATCTCTAACATTTGTAAAACAGTATTTACACTGATCATCAAAAGACAAAATAAAGTGTCGGGTTCATTGTCATCCTTCAAAGATTTTGACTTAAATGCAAGGAAGACCAAAATTACCATAGATCTCCAGAATTTGACTCGGCAAATAATACTGTTTGAAACATATGAACAAATACAGCGTGTGGGCGTAAATGCAATTATAAAAACTCCCGCAGTTGAATACTAGTGATTGATAGCGATAAAAAATAAGTAATCTGATAAGCTTAAAATGTATCTTGTTAGCTTAAGTTGCAACAAACGCATCAAGAAATGTTTCATCTAATAATAGTCCGTCTCAACCCAGAACCCACCCCTTAACATTGGTACACATAATCCAACAGTGTTATCAAAAGCGAAAAGCGTAGAAAAGCTCTAACGTTCGTTGGAGCTTTAAGCGCAAAGCGCAAATATAGCATGCGCTTTAATGAAGAAAGGCGCAAATGGAGAAAAAAGTACAAATATGTAAGCACGAATAAGAAATATATGGACAAAGAAATTGAAAAAGAATTACGATAAAGTGATATATCAATTGTTTAGTGTCGCATTTTCAAGATTATGCTCGTCGGCAAGGAAAAATATGCCTTAGAGCCCTGATGACAACGCTGAAGTGCCACTAAGCAAGGCGAAGCACTCAACATGTGCATGGCTTAAGCGCGATTTTGACAACATTGAATCCAACATTATGCGATGAAACTTTTGATACAAGGAGTGTGTCTTTTTTCACTTGGCTAATTATTGACCAGACATTTTTACACTTAACAACAACATAGGACGGAGTTTCTATTTAAATTAAACGAGCATGTTAATTCATTTGACTAACTTAGCATACCTTCTCATGCTAATTTCTACTCTAGCTAGCCACCAAAAACAGAAATTCTGTTTAAGCCTGAGGCAACCCGGTGCAATAATATCCCACTATGCGCGAGGTCCCGGGAAGGGTCGGACCACAAGGGTGTATTGTACGCAGTCTTACCCTGCATTTCTTTCACGGGTTGAACCCGTGACCTCCAATTATTAAATGCTTGCTTTTACTTAGGAAAACTGGAAGTGAACAAAGGATATAATATGCAATAACTGATGATTATACCTATATTGAGATCATGAACAGCTTGAGAAAATACTACTCACCAGAAAATTAATAGAGCTTATATTAAGGTAGCCCTTATTCCTATTTAAAACTTCCTTTTCTCTTTGACTTTTACAAAGTGACTAACACCAATATATGTGAAGCTACTTCTCCCAAAAGTATATAATTAAATGTATCGTCATTGTTCCATACATTATTAAACGGAAATAGGCCGCCTCCAAACACATATTGCAAGTTCTATTAGTGCCAAACTACATGTAGAAAGCCAGATAGTTAGACACAGAACTCACTTTCGAGTATGTGGAGTAACAAATCAGATTCAAATTTTCCAAATTTGTGTTTTGAATGACAAATGCAACAAGCTCTCTAAATCTGATGTAACACTGGCCAGGACTTGATGACAAGTACCTGATTTTAGACCCATGCCAGTTAAAAAAACAAGAAAATAGCATAAGCCTATGGCAGGTAGCAACATTTTTTGACCATACAGACAAAAAGGAGATGGAGTGGGGGTAGAGAGCTAGAGGCAGAAAAGCATTTTAATTACAAGCAGTGTGTTTTCTTGTAAGTTAAAGGTGCTTACAGATCTCGCTCATGAACTAGGGTAGTCCAAAGAGTGGGGAAGTGCTTGCTCATTTCCTGAATTACAAGAGTCAGCATGTCGACATCATCCATTTCCTTCAGCTGCTCAACAGCAGAAGTCCAATACCATGTAAGTAACATAAGATATTCTTCACAAATCCAATATGCAGAGAGGGGAAACCCCATAAAATATTATGCAAGGGAACCTACCATCTTGTTGAGATCTTCCGGATTTGGTAAGAATAATGCTTGGAAAAATAAGGAGAACAAGAATTTTGTTTTGTGCCAAAGCGGCATTTTTGCCCATGTTCTTCGCAATGTTATCTGTTCATAAAATTGGTAACATTTGACAGGTTAATAAAAAACCGAACTGCGTAATTTGAGTCATTAAATGGTTATAGCATCAGATAGGGATTAAGGATTAGGCTTCAAACTGAAGTTCAGAACTAACAAGACGAGAAATCTACTCAATATATGATAAAACTACTTCAATAAAATAAAGATGAAAACCAGGTTTCACATTTGCAAGAAAGCAAGACATTGAACAGGAACTATAAATATGCTTTCTCCTACTGGGAACTAGACAAAACAGAACGTAATTGTAGTCCTGCAAGAGCACTAGAGTATCAGGAAGCTTAGGGGTGTTCATAAAAACCCGAAAAACCGAACCAAACCGAAAACCAAACCAAACCAACCAAAAAAACCGATACATTTTGGTTTGGTTTGGTTTTGGTTTTGAATTTTAAAAACCGATCAAATTTGGTTTGGTTATGGTTTTAATCAGAAAAAAACCGAAAAAAAACCGAACCAAACCGACTATAGGAGTAGCTATTTCAAATTCATTATTACATCTATATATATGTATATTTTTATACAGAGTTTCAAAAATTTTATGGTAAATGTTAATAGTTTGCACTTTTAGCATAGTTCTTTACCTTTACATTCTAATTTGATTGGTAGTTTTCTTTTGTTAAGTGTAAGAATCCATTTCGTGTTAAAAATAATATATTTTTAATTGAGTCCTTAAATTATTCATCACTATTTAATTCAATTATCATCAATATATCTTGATAAATAATAGATTTCTAAAAGGGCAATTGATTTGATAGTGTTACGTTGAAAATGTGGTCGCCGAAATATGTGTTTGGTAGTGTATGTCGTATATTTAAGAAAAAACCGACAAATAACCGAAAAAACCGAAAAATCGACAAAATCCGACATAAACCGAATCGAGAAAAAACCGACTTAATTGGTTTGGTTTGGTTCTAATATTTGAAAAACCGACTTACTTGGTTTGGTTTCTTTTTCGGGGAAACCGATCCAAACCGAACCATGAACACAAGATTTATCTTTTTACAGCTCCAATTCCATAAGTGAAGTAGTACATCTTTTTTCTTTTTTCTTTCTTTTTGGTATTTGATTTGTTTTTTGGAAAAAAAATTATAGACTTAAGAAAATACATAGTCCAAGAAAATGCTTAGAATATATGACAAGAAAAGTAATTTAACAATTCTTGGTTAAAGAAAATGTTTAGACTCCCCAAATAGTAAGGATGGTCAAGAAGCAATAAATAAGAAACAATAACAAACAGGTCTGCAGTCTCTCTTTTTTTTTTTTTTTCTTTTTTGATAAGGAAAAATGGATCCGAATGATTTCGGGGGATTAACAGGTCCTGCAGTTTTTGGAAAAGCCAAATTATCAGAAGGTTAGTTATTGAGTTGGATAGTACTCATTCCGTCAAACTTAACATTAACTAGACGCACAAATTAATGGTTGGAGAAACCAATTAGGAGAGACCGTGGTAGTTATTAAGGTTACTGGGGCTTTAATTATGCACCTATTCCCGAGGTTTATACTCTCTCGGTCCTATAATTTCAATAGCATCCATTGTTTTTTAACTTGATCAATTTTTAGTCTAATACTAGATCAATTTATGTACTCAAAATACATGAAATTTTTAATAACTTACAATTGTTTCCTTTCTTGGCAGACTCTTGGGAATCGAAAAGGAAAACGATTATGGAATGGAAGGAATAGCTTCCTTTTTCTTTTTCAATCAAAGGAAGAACGTTTTGATATTTATTGATGAAAAAGTACTATCAATCCTAACAGAGAGTTAATACCGACTAAATGATACCACATTGCTAGAAATCAATCAAGAATGTTATTTTGAGATAGATCCAAAAGATTTGCTAAACATCAAAAACACTTGAAAGACTTTCATAACTGTAATCCCCCGAAATTAATAAATCCCCAATGAAGCAACAATGCCAAAAAAACCATGCAGCATTCTTCCGGTAAAAGCCAAAACCACTTAATGTAAATTACTTTTTGCCCTTAATCGATCTACGATAAAAGCAAATTATTAGATGAAACTAAATTACTTGTTATTCAATTGTATTATCCACGGAAAGAGACCGAGAGACATGAATGGAGCATTTCGTACTTTATTTTAGTTCTGATTTCACTAAAATGAAAAGGACAGCAACCCAATTTAGATCATGATTACTAGGGATATGTTTTAAGATTTGATGCAAAGTCATTTGTCCACCGGAGAACGCCATACACTTGCAAACTTAAGATATTATAGACGAACCAGAATTTAAGCTTAATATCTTCAAACATTCGAATTGTGCAAAGCATCTTACTTGTACGGGACGGTCACCAAGTATCACCTTTCCGCCGTACTTCATTGCTTCTTCATAGGCCACACGGAACTCAGCCCCAGGCACAACCTCAAGCTTGTTAGCAACCTAAAACATGAAGAAAATCAAAATAACGATCCCTATGCCAACCCAAAAGGGGAAACAAGAGAGAGGGGGGGTGGGGGTGGGGGTGGGGAATACAAGATGAAAGACACTATATAGGAAGTAAAGTAAAATTTTCAAACCATGTACAATACATTTAGAGGTTAAACATACCTTAGCAAGAAACCAGCTATAGAGTATCCCAAATGGATTTTGATTTTTCTTCCACATATCCATCATTTCCCTCATAGTTGGTACCTGGCACAGTCAGGAGCGGGAGTATTAGAAATTAATCCAAAGAAGTGAAAGATGAAGACCAGCAATACCATCTCATACTGTACAGTGGTTTCGTGGAACAGGGTGAAATTTGGAGGTATGGAGTGACTGATCTCATCATATCCTTGATGCCAAAAGGTAGGCCAGCCACAGTCGTCCTATGCTTTCTGTTATCCTAAATATATGGGACTATATTCCAAGGGGATTCATATTACAAATCCCAGGATAAGAGTCCCAACATATAAGAACTTTTAAAAGAAAAAAAAAAGATGTCCTTGACTTTACTGACCAGATGATAACATTCTTCTTAGTCTCACTGGCATTTACATAAAGCATTTTTAGCTTTATTAAATTATAGTATATTTTACTAATAGGTGTAAAACCTCTTAGTTCTTCTTGGCAGCATATTTCTTTTTTACGTTATTTACCCAAACCAGGAAATTTATCTTTTATATGAGTATGTCCCATGATCCCATCCATAAATCCTTCCGCGTTCCAAACAACAAAATGAGTTTTGCGGGAAAGCTCACTCAAAGGTTTCTGTTTTGCCACTGATCAATTTTGTTTCAACATACCTATCCTATGCACCATGAGTTTCCTCCCCCATTCCTTCAACAAACAACACTGACTCACCATAGTTCTCCTCCTCTTTTTTTTTTTTTTTTTTGATTTGCACCGGGTGTCCGAGTCTCTTAGAACCCCGACTAATCCCGGGGGTGCACAGGCCCTCGGCAAGGAGTTTCCCGCAAGTGCACCACGGTTAATTCAGGTTTTACCCAATCCGATGGCCCTCAGAAATTGTTTGCACCCTCCTCTTTCTTACACTATCATCACTAATATTGCATTTCACATGTGCACCAATTAAAGAAAGCTATTTTTCCTGGTGCTTTATTATCCCATACTATCTTCAAAAGCTCCCTCCTACCCTAAATACCTATTAGCTCCTTATAATAGAAACTTACCATAAATGACTTTGCCCTTCTTCCCCTCCATGCCTTCCTATCTTCCACTTCATCATATATAGGCCACTCACTTAATTGTATGAAGAAATTCCACAATCCCCTCCCTTTCCCAGTATTAGTAGTGTCACCGAGAAAAACTCCTTTTCCCCATTCAAGGAATTTTTGTATTTCGGACCTTGATTGCTTTTATAACAGATTTTTTCTTTTTATTCAGAAAGAGAAACAGATTCCCAATTATGACTAACTTGTAAATTTTACCTTATCAAAAAAAAAAAAAAATTATGACCAACTTGTAGTTCTTGAAGCACCAAAGCACAATAAAAAGACAGACAACCAAAGTAGGTACCTTGCAATGAGAAAGCAAACAATTGGACTGAATTATAAAGAGAAGGCATCAGGTACAAAAAGCACACTAACGGTCTGTATCAAATTGAAAACTAGTAAAAATTCCGAGAAGAAAAATAAATAACAGAGGAAACTTCTCTACATGGTAAAAGAAACTCAAGAAATAGAAACTTCATGTTTGGCTCGGCCCAAGATGAACTCTTTACGTATCTGGAGAGGGATAAAGATATATGTCAGAGATGAAAGTCCAACCTTTAAATTATGAGGTGTAAGCACAGCCACACGACCTGAGCATAACTCCAAGAAAAACAACCTATCATCAATAAACCAGAATCAACAAAAAACTACTGTGGAAAGCCTAAAAAATAGAAGAAAAATTGGCAAGCTAAAAGCAGGCTGCTACCAATTACTCAAATACAAAAGTCAAAAAGAAAGCAACCTGCGGTTTCAAAAAAAATTGAATCACGGCTTCGACTTCTTGGCAGGATTCCTGTGACCATGCATTGAAAACTTATGTGATTATACAAACCCTCTATAAGACTCATTCTATTCTATAATTCGATGAATACACT